AAGCGGGCGGTCGTGACGTGCAGGCGGCCGCAGACTCGCACTGTGACATGGAATTGGAGAGGAAGGATGCATAATACTTTCGCCGCGCAGGGAAGTCTGTCGTGGAAGGGGTTGTGCGCGTGAGCGTTACGTCGGATGCCGCCCAGGCGAGTGAGGGCGGCGCCTTGCCTGCGTGGCTCCTCGACAACGCCTCGCGCGTCGCCTGCAGGTGCGCAGCTCGCGTTTGGCGGCGGCATCTCGCCCGGCCTGTGTTGGCGCAGGGCTGGAACGGATGCGTGCGCGACGGGGGGGTGGGGGCGTGGGCGGCGCGCAAGTTCCGACGAGCGGACCTTTGGGCGGTGGGGCCCAGGCGAGGAGCGTAGGACCCTGGCGCGCGATGCATAGGATCGCTATGGCGTGGCCGCGCGGGAGGCGCGGTTGCGGGAGGAGATGGCGGGGGGCGGTCCGCCCGCAGAGGCGCCGGCTGTGCCTGCCGCTCGCAGGGCGGAGCCCGAGCTGCGGCCCAGTTGCGCTGTCTTCCGTGGGGCGAACGCCGTTCCATGCGCGAGTTCCGTGGAAAGCCTCTGGCATTGCTGCCGTTCCCGCGCCGTCTTTGCGACCTGGACTTCCAGCGCGCGCTTGCTTCATGCAGCGCGTGGCCATGGCGCGCCGCGGTTGGCCCGAGTGCAGGAAGCGGCTCTTCTAATTCGCGGAGCAAGCTGAAGGCGCGGGGCCCGTGGGGCCGCAGGAGTGGCGGAGGTGCGTGGATGCGTTTTGTGAGCGCCTAGTAACGGGGTCCTCCGAGTGGCCAGCGTGCGCAGCTTCGACGGGGGCTGGAAGTGCTGCCGATGGCGTTGATGTGCCGTGGAGGTGGTGGAGATTGCCTGGCGGAGACGCTGTCGGGCCCGGGGGGGAGTGGAAGCCGGTGGACATCGACACGTTGGGGGCTATTCTTGTGCAGGCGGGCAGCGCGTGTGCCGAGTCTGGGGGGAATCGCCGCGCTGTGCGCGCGAGGGCTGGTTGTTGCGCTTGCGCTCGGCTGCGCTGGTCGGGCGAGCTTCAGAGCTTTTACTTTTGGTGTACATCGGATGATGTCGAGGGGCGGTCTTTTTTTGTGCGACGACAGCCCGCAGCGGCCTGCGCGCGCCGATGCGGATTCCGCGGTGGGCGGGGCATCGGCGGAAGGCGATGGGGCGCAGGGCCAAGCCATGGGCGTGACGCAGCGACAGCGCGCTTGGGCTGTCTTGGAACCGTCCTCGGGCGCCTTGGAGCACTTTCGGCTTGGCAATGCGAACATGGCGTAATTGCAAACGTTGTTGACTTCGGGGATGTGTTTATCGCATTATTGACGACGGTGTGCATCCTTGGGAACGCAACACTTGCGTAACTTGCGAGGTTTCGTGGCCTCGGGGACGCGAACATTCAAATTTACTAAGGATTATGGCTTTGTGGGCGCGAGTCTCGTGTAGTTGTACAAGTCCCACGACCCCCCCCGGAATTCAGAAAACGCGATTCGGGCTCGGTATCCGGGCAGTTTGGGCCCCCCCACCCTTTCACGCGGATTTCATTTTTTGTTTTTACGCAGGGAAGCAGAACACAGGAGTGTGACACTGGATACGTTCAACTAAATGATGCATCGAGCAGCAGCCTCGTCCTACAGCCTGGTGGCCTTACATGTGGGGCCCGTCATGTATCATCATTTGTTCATGCGAATATTTATATCAGCATATATGTGTATATATACACACAAGTATGTATACACATGTCAATATGTCAAAATGTCTGTTTGTTTGTGCGAATGTTCGTGCGTACGCATGCGTGCATGTATCTATGCTTGTGCAACATGCATGTATGAATGTACGTATGTTTGCATGTACGCATGCATGCATGCATATATGCATGCATGTACGTATGTATCCATGCTTTTGTATCTATACATACATGCATCTGTGTGTATATACAGTAATGTATTTATGCGTGTTTTTTTTGATATTTGTAGTATATGCATGTAGGTATGCATATATGCACGAATGTGTTTATGCATGTATGTATGCATGCATGCATGTGTGTATGCATGCATCTATATGTATGTATCCATGCTTGTATGGTAGCATGTCTGCATGTATGTCTGCATGTATGTATGTATGTATGTATGTATGTATGTATTCATTTGTGTATGTACGCATGTGTGTATACATGTAGCTTTGCATATGCGTATGTATTTGTGTATGCACGTGTGTGTATATATATGCATGTGTGCAATAATATATATATATATATATATATATATTTATGCTGTACGCCTGTATGCATGTATACACATGCATCTATGCATGTACGTTCGTATGCATGTATTGATGTATGTATGTCCGTATCTATGCATCAACATCTGTCTAGTTGTTGCTTTGCTCACATACGCACATACACAGTGAATGCGTCGGTGCATCTGTTCCAATGCCATCGACAATAGCTATGCGGCAGTGTGTCTCGGTGCAGTCGAAGCGTACACCATGCTTGGCGCCATGGCGCCCATGGCCAGTGGCCCGTCGTTTGTTGCTCGTAAATCAGGGTCCGTGGCACACAGACAGAGGCCCGTGGCGTGTCACGTGTGATCCGCAGCCGGTGGCCCGTTACCGTTTGTCCGTGCTTTGGTGCATTGCGCGCGATGCTCGTGGTTTGTCGCCCGTGGCTTGTGGGTGGGCGTGCGGTCCTTGGCTGGTGTCCTTCAGCCCCTTTGCCCTCCGTGCTCGGCGCTATCGCAGATTCCGGGCACCGTGATTTTCGGGTGAAGATACTTTTGCTGGTTCTAAGCGAAGGTCGGCAGATTTGCTTCGAATATTCATTCGGGTGCGGTGGGATGGGGTCGCGATAGGATGCTCTCGGGTCTGCGTGGTATCTGGTACTCTTGGCATGCTGTTGATGCTGCGCCACATTGCATTTGTTCCCAACCATCCTGTGGTGTTGGGTCCTCGTTTTGAAGAGACAGCGCCCCGCGTTCCCACCTCCTCCCTCCTCCTCCCTCTCCTCCTCCCTCTCCTGCCTCCTCCCTGCGTTTCACCCACCCATTACAGCGCTTCGTGGCTCCATAGGGAGCTCCAGCAAAGGCCCCAGTGGCAGGGTCCGCATGCAGTTCCACCTCCATTTCGGCGCACCTCTCACACGTTTCGTGGCCCCATAGGGTGCTCCACCCAAGGCCCCAGTGGCAGGGTCCGCATGCAGTTCCACCCCCATTCGGCGCACCCCTGACACGTTTCGTGGCCCCATATGGTGCTCCACCCAAGGCCCCAGTGGCAGGGTCCGCATGCAGTTCCACCTCCATTTCGGCGCACCCCTCACACGTTTCGTGGCCCCATAGGGTGCTCCACCCAAGGCCCCAGTGGCAGGGTCCGCATGCAGTTCCATCCCCATTTCGGCGCACCCCTCACACGTTTCGTGGCCCCATAGGGTGCTCCGCGGAAGGCCCCAGTTGCAGGGTCCGCATGCAGTTCCACCCCCATTTCGGCGCACCCCTGCCACATTTCGTGACCCCATAGGGTGCTCCGCCCAAGGCCCCAGTGGCAGGGTCAGCATGGAGTTCCACCCCCATTTCGGCGCACCCCTCACACGTTTCGTGGCCCGATAGGGTGCTCCGCCGAAGGCCCCAGTGGCAGGGTCCGCCTGCAGTTCCACCTCCATTTCGGCGCACCTCTCACACGTTTCGTGGCCCTATAGGGTGCTCCGCCCAAGGCCCCAGTGGCAGGGTCAGCATGCAGTTCCATCCCCATTTCGGCGCACCCCTCACACGTTTCGTGGCCCGATCGGGTGCTCCGCCGAAGGCCCAGTGGCAGGGTCCGCATGCAGTTCCACCCCCATTTCGGCCCTATAGGGTGCTCCGCCCACGGCCCCAGAGGCAGGGTCCGCATGCAGTTCCACTTCAATTTCGGCGCACCCCTCACACGTTTCGTGGCCCCATAGGGTGCTCCGCCGAAGGCCCCAGTGGCAAGGTCCGCCTGCAGTTCCATCCCCATTTCGGCGCACCCCTCACACATTTCGTGGCCCCATAGGGTGCTCCGTCGAAGGCCCTCGTGACAGGGTCCGCATGCAGGTTCCACACCCATTTCGGCGCACCCCTCACACGTTTCGTGGCCCCATAGGGTGCTCCGCCGAAGGCCCCAGTGGCAGGGTCCGCATGCAGTTCCACTCCCATGTCGGCGCACCTTCACACGTTTCGTGGCCCCATGGTGTGTTCCGCCGATGATCCCAGTGGCAGGGCCCGCATGCAGTTCCACCTCCATTTCGGCGCACCTCTCACACGTTTCGTGGCCCCATAGGGTGCTCCGCCGAAGGCCCCAGTGGCAAGGTCCGCCTGCAGTTCCACCCCCATTTCGGCGCACCTCTCACACGTTTCGTGGCCCCATAGGGTGCTCCGCGGAAGGCCCCAGTGGTAGGGTCAGCATGCAGTTCCATCCGTATTTCGGCGCACCCCTCACACGTTTCGTGGCCCCATACGGTGCTCCGCCGTAGGCTCCAGTGGCAGGGTCCACATGCAGGTCCACCTCCATTTCGGCGCACCCCTCACACGTTTCGTTATATACCCCATAGGGTGCTCCATTCAAGGCCCCCGTGGCAAGTCCGCATGCAGCTCCCCCTCCATATCGGCGCACCCCTCACACGTTTCGTGGCCCCATGGAGTGTTCCACTTAGGGCCCCAGTGGCAGGTTCCGCATGCAGTTCCCCTCCATTTCGGCGCACCCCTTCCACGTTTCGCGGCCACCAAAGGCCGTGGTGGCAGCGCCCGCACGTGGTTCCACCCTGCATTTCGGCGCACCCCTCACGCGTTTCGTGGCCTCAGATGGGGCTGCACCGACGGCTCCTGTGGCAGCGTCCGCATGGCGTACCCGTGCCAATTTTGGCACACCGGTCACACGCGTCGTGGTCTCAGAGGGAGGTTCACCGAGGACGATACCCACACCTGCGTTACACACAGCTGCACATGGTTGGGCCCTTTGCCAGGATAATTGTTCGGCCAATCGCTGCTGGGATAATGCTCAAGCCGCTGTCGCTGTACACCCAATGGCATAGCCGTGGCAATGTTCCATGTTTGAAGGGGCTGCTCTAAGGAAGGGGCGGAGTGTAGTCCGTCTTTCAACCCTCCTCCCTATCCCTCTCTCGTTCTCTTTACCTCTCGCTCTCTCGGTTTTGATGTCATCGCTTTGAGTATCCCGCCAGCCATATAGTTGGTAATCCATGGTCGACATTTGATTTGAGGCCTGTTCGCTAGCTCATCTTTTCATCGCTCCTGGCCGAACCGTCCGACGGAGAGGTCACACCGTCAGTCCCTTCTTCAAACAAACAGCAGTAGCTCATTCTTTTCGAATAGTGAGGCTATATTGGCAAGATTTCTTATGAATCATGGTGATGTCATTGGTACAACAATTCAGTCTTCAGCAATATCTACTTTCTGTCTTCATTCTTTCATTCACGTGCCATTGTGGTGTCATTTCTTGGATTTGTTTGGGGTCATGGTATGTGTGGGCACCACGATTCGCTGTAGAGTCTGTACTGGAAGTGCCTCTCTGTGTGAGTTCGGGGTCGGAGAACTCTGGAGCCCCAGTCCCAGAGGGATTGTGATACTGGCGTGGCATCACGCAGTTCAGCTGTCATGAGTTGGTGATGCAGGACTGAACTACCTCTGCTGCTGCTACTGCCAACGATGCCTCCGTCAAACTATGTATACTTTGTCGTTGTGGGCGGTCGTTTGCCGTGGCGGCTTCTTTCGAGGTTGACGCCACGTTTGTGCTTATGTTGACCCTGTGGCTCTGACACAAGTAACGGTATTGAAGGTATGGTCTTTGGGAGAGCAGACATTCCAATAGTTGTGATCACCCCCTTTCTGAATCAGTGCCAACGATGATTCTGGCAGGGGCTACGTTTGCGATCCAGTGTATACTGGGCAACAAACATTTGGGATACGCGCGCGCGCTTGGGGTTGTAATATGTGTTGCAGGGAAGGCCGATACCCTTATTCGGTAAAGGAATCATCTGGCACGGCTTGCCACAGGCATGGCGCTTCGTTTCTTGTTGTCTTTTTGCTCGCACAGCTCTTTACGCATGCTTGCTACCATCGTGTCCGTCACACCCACTGGACACATACTTTGGCAGAGGTTGTCTGTTGCCAATCTCATTCTGTCCGACGCAGGACACGTCGGAATTGTGGTTGGGTTGTAAACCTGACGTGTGAATATCCAAGCATCCCTTCGTTATCTGACGTCTTCAGCTTATGCGCTCACTATCTACCGAATTAGATACCCAGCTACCTGCGGTAAGCCCCGTCACCGCTGCGCCAGTGCAGAGCGCAGCAGGAAGGAGGTTGAGTTGAAGACCCGTTCCAGACTTGTGCGATGTCTGAACTGGCCCGAGTCTGAAACTTCCCGTCCTAATCCGCTGCTTGGCTCTCCGCCTTCTCTTCATCCTGGGGGCTTCTCGAGGGTCTCTTCGGGGCCTTTTGAGGCCCTCTTGGGGGCCTGCGCGAGGCGCGTTGGGGGCGCGTCGAGGGTCTCGGAAGCGTTTTCGGGCGAATGGTTGTGACGTGTTCTGCCGAAGAGGTTGTCCTGTGTGATTCTCGGGCTGTCTTGGGACTCTTGAGGTCTTCTTTCGGCCTGTCATGAGCGCTTCAGGGGCTCCCGGAAGCTTTGCCAGACCGATCTCAAGCTAGCAAGGCTGGGAAGCAAACGTGAACATCGTCTCGAGTGAGCAGCATTGTGTTGTGCTTCCACCAGTGCCACGCCAGAGGCCTCCTTCCCAGACGACAACGGCCAAAAGCCCTCCGACGTGAGTCAGAAGGCCTTACGGCCGGTGCCGCCGACCCTGCAGGAACACCTGCATGATGAAGGTGGCAGCCAGAGGTGTTGGGAGGGTCGGTACCAACCAGCCTGAAGAGCCCCCCAGGAGCCCCATGAGGTTCCCCAGAACGCCTGACGGTGAGTACAGCTTGACCAAGCTCTCTGACAATATGCTCTCGCGCAAGGGGAGGAAGACTGCTGGGCCGCGTGAATCGTCTGCGGAAGGGCCAGCACCCGACCACGGGTAGGCTCCATGGGTAGGCCCATGGGGTGAACACTCTAAGGCCTCGCCAGGGTTCTTCTACACGGTAGAGGTAGGACACTGTAAGATGTTTCATCCTGTTTAATAGTCCTCCCGCTGACCAGGAGGAAGAGGAGGAGGAGGAGGAGGAGGAGGAGGAGAGGGAGGAGGAGGAGGAGAACAAGGAGGAGGAGGTGGAGGAGGATGATAATTCTGATGATGATGCTGCTGATGATAATGATAATGCTGCTGATTGTGATGATGATGATGACGAGCAATGATGATGATGATGATGATGATGATGATGATGATGATGATGATGATGATGATGGTGGTGGTGATGATGATGATGATCATGATGGTGATGATGATGATGATGATGATGATGATGATGATGATGGTGATGATGATGATGATGATGATGATGCTGATTATGATGATGATGCTGATGATGATGGTGATGGTGATGGTGATGATGATGATGATGATGATGATGATGATGATGATGATGATGATGATGATGATGATGATGATGATGATGATGATGATGATGATGATGATGATGATGGTGGTGGTGATGGTGATGGTGATGGTGATGGTGGTGTTGTTGATGATGATGATGATGATGATGATGATGATGATGTTTGATGATGATGCTGATGATGAGGAGGAGGTGGCGGAGGTGGTAGAGGAGGAAACCCAGGAATAGAAAGAGTAGGAGGAGGAGGAAGAGGAGGAGTGGGAGGAGGAGGAGGAGGAGGTGTTAGAAAGTAACCCGACCACCGGGTGAGAAGTGCCAGCGGCATTTAGAAATTCCAGTTCTACATGTTAGTTGGTGGCCGCTACTGTTTGGCTCAAGTGCAATTTGCCCTCTCGTGAAAAAGCCTCTAGTAGACTTGCATGGTAGCGGAGCCCGTGTTTCGCCCCACAGGTTCCAGTGTACAGGTGGCGGCGGCGGCAGATGCAGCTGCCCCGGCGAACCCCGGCGCCAACGATTAGGGTTTTGATGTATCGCGGCATGAAGTGCGAGAAGCCTGGTACAACCTCGGCACGAAACGGTTCGCGGAAATATGCAACGCATGTTGCGAGCACGGGGACGGAAGGTACGTTACCGCAGCGATCAAAGCCACCCACGAGTGCATGAATATTTGAGCGCGGCGCCACACAGGGCACTCGGACATGCTCAATGATGAAGCATGCGCAATGCTGCATATTAGCCACGATATGTTCGCTTTACGATCCCAAGGGCAGGAGGTGGAAGTAAACCCGTGGGTCAGAACAAAGTCCAACAGTTTCAGGCGACAAAGTTCAGTTCAGTAAGTTGAATGCGAAGCTGCTGGGTGCACTTGCTAAGCTAAAGCATCCTAGGTACCGGAAAGCTACGAAACATTTCAACTTCCAAAGATGCCATGGGTGGAGCTTCATTCGATGATTATGACGATGCTGATGATTTGATTCAGATCATTCATGGAAGGTCCGCCCGGGGAGAGTTCGCGACAGCCTCGCAGGCAAATAATCAACATGATTACGCAGAGGGGGTTTACTAGCTGGATGGCGATGATTACGCCAAGCTGGATGAGGATCTCTGGTATCTGCTCAGTGGCACATAAGAGCCATTGGGTAAGTGTGGGGGCTTGCGTGGACGAGATTGTTTCATGGCTTATCACAGAATTTCCAAGTGGTGCTCTGTGGCTACCAGGATTACACGTTCGTATCATCTAAATCTTGCCAGGAAGTCCAAAACGCTAACGACAGTAAATGACGTGGCTGTGAAAATTTTGCACAGAGGAGTGCGTTAGTAGAGTCCCTTCAAACGTATCATTGTGGCCCATGCTGGTGATAGGTTCGATGGCCGGCAACAAGGTCGCTTCATAATCCCAGGACACCTTCCCGCAGCCTTTCGGTAGTGCGAGAGGATTAGGCAAGTGCTGGAAGACCTAGACGCCGCTGCGAAGAACGCCAAAGCAAGGGGCATGTGACAAGTTAGCGATGGAGGAATTCGAGACACTTGTGGAAGCGATGCAGGTTATCGCGACGCGGTAGGCAACGGGCGGCCCCAGGGTGTGGAAGGTATGACCGGGGGCGGCAACGCGGTCGAAATTAGCGATGGAAAAGGTGAGGGCACATGGCGCATGTGTTAGATGTGGCTTTTTGTCAGTGCGCGACCAGCGGAACTTCCGAGGGAAAATGGAGGCGGACAGTGGACAATGCAAGGGAGTGGGTTTTCCAAGGGGTCGTGCAGGTGGTGGATAGCAGGGGGGATAGCAAATCGCCGAGGTTGCCGAGGGGCCAAGACCCAGGCTGGACAGAAGGAGGCAAAGGGGGGATCATGTAGAGGGTGTGTTACAGGTGCGACGGGAAGGTTCACGTAGCAGTCCGCTGTCCCAAGGGCGTCCACGAGGATGCCCCATGTCGCGGGGGGGCGGGGGGCCCAGGAGAGCCTGCGCAGCTGTTGGGGTAGTTTCTGCCAGGGCTGGGGCGCCGCTGCGTCGAACCGCGCGTGAATGCACGCAGCAGGGGGGCCGTTGTAGACGCCCAGCCACCGGGGCGCAGAAATGGAGAGCGCAGTGCTAGCCAACGAGGAGGATGATGAATGGAGCAAAATTCTGGTTCAAGGAGAAGCGTGCGTTACATGGGTGCTGCGTTAACTGCGGACGTGGCGCCAACTGGAATACGCGAGTTCCGGGCTGCATCCAGCAGGGGAAATTTTGGGCGCAACAGTGCGCCGAGCAAATGTTCGTGGATCTGGATGGGGCCCAGCGAGGAAGTCAATGAGGTGCTTGGGAGGGGCTGGGGAAGCTGGATGGAAATAGTAAGCGTTGCCGTGAATTCAGGGGCCTGCAGCGCCGTTGGACTTCCACGCGCGCGAACCCGCCTCCCCCTTGAACCCGCGAAGGTGTCCAGCAGCGGCGCGCGCAACGTTGCAGTTATTGGGTCAGTTATCAGGTGCCATGGGCGACGGGTCATTCTGGGGGGCAACGAGAAGGGGTCCATGGTGAGCATGCTCATCCGGGTAGCTGGTAGTGGTTTGAAAAAGAGCGCGGGTCTGCGGGTGAGATTGCCGAAGCCAGGAATCGCATGGTGCTGGGTCGAGGCAGCGATGGGCGATCCTGCAGTTACCTCGAGGACGAGGCAGTTCGACAAGGGTTAGCGATGAGATGTGGGGCATTTCCCAGGCAGGGGACTTTCGTGGCTGACAATTTCTATGGAGTCCGACTGATCCCGCGATCCCCAGTCAGAGCCCAGTCATCGTGAACGTGGAGGTCGACGAAGAAAATGAGGATGGGTGCAGTGAGTTAAGTGATGCGACAGATGTATGTGCATGCTGGAGAGGAGGCCGGGGTGCCTGAAAGGACTGCGTATGGCATGATACCCTGCTGAGGACAAGTCGGCTGACGCACCGTAACCTCGATGCGTTCGGGGAAGAGCGAGGGGGAGATTGCGCGTGGAGAAGGTGGGGGTGCCAAAACAATGTAAACTGGCGGTCTCCACCTACTGCGTGCGGCTACGCGTGAAAAGTGCAGACGGCGAGGAGGAAGGCGTAGCAGACCCAACCGTCGTCATGCGCTGCTGGGGCACCGACTTAACCTGGGGCCACGTTTCATTCGGGAACGGCGCGAGTCCATGTTCAGTTTTTTTTTTTTTTTTTTTTTTTTTTTTTTTTTTTTTTTTTTGCCATGAGGTTTTGTTTGCTGGATGCTATTGCGGCGCTGGGGAGTCATTCATTGCGATGCTCAGGGAAACTGTCAACGCCTCGCGCGACGTCGACGTGGGAGGAAGGGAGGAGAACGTAGTCGGGTCGGAGCCCCTCAATCAAGCTGCGAAGTTGAAAGGGCAATCGGAACAGTAGAAAAGTGCCTTCCGGACGTTATAGAGTGCTTTGGACGACAGATGCACAGTCGAGTTTGGAGAAGAGTTCGCCCTTTTTCCTGGTTTGGTAGCTGTCGCATTGGTTCTATTCGACACTCTTACAATGGG